ACAAACGTGTCGTCAACATAACGCCAAAAATGTTTTGGGTGGACAATGGTATCCGGCCAAGGCTATTTGTTCGAAGCCCTCCATGATTCATCGTTGAAAACACAGAGGGGCGCTTTCTTCATGATGGGGTCACTTAGCTTCGTCATTTTATTCCGAGAGGAAGAACGTGACTTGCTGCTTGGAACGATTTGCACAATTTGGTATCTCTACCCAAGGAGAGCTCCTCAACAGGTATGCGGGGCGAATTCGACTGTAATTGGCCTATTATAGTATTGAGTAGCTTTGGCAACAAGACCAAGCGCCAACCTAGCTCAAAGATCACCATGAACAAAGTGTTGGGGAGTATTTTCGAAAAGCGACGGGCGTTATTCGGTTTAGCTGTCTGGCGGGATTTCGCCAGTCTTAACCTCACTAAATCTAACCTTTCAAAGGTGTGAAATAGCGGTCTCGTTTAGAAACAACGAGTAAACGACTGCTGACTGTGGACAGACATCGAATTTCTCACTCAAATAGTGGGACCAACCTGCTCCTCTGTATGCGACTCAGATAGAACTTCCGGATTAACAAAAACACGGTCCCCTTCACTGAGTAGAACAAGGAAAAAAGGAGAATAAATAGAGCATTCAAAAAAAGCGCCACATTTGGTTCACAGCGAACAAGAGGCAGTAGAAGTAAAGAATTAGATCAAGGAAATATACAATACACGGTGGTGGTGGTGGGGGGAATTTAATGGTTGCAAATTCAAAGCAACAGAGATAATGCCATCCGAAAACCCAGTAGAACTACGATCTCTGGGGTCGAAAACGCACCCATTTTGCCGGATGAGGAGGTTGCTAAAGTGGAAAGCACAAGACAGATAGATCAGGTTGGAAAAATCTCAGTGGTTAAAAAAACGCTTGGTCCCAATGAAATTTAAGTCGCAGCTACTATTCTCGGTTAAAAAGCATAGAAAACGAAGTAGGCACTATCCCCAGAGCCACACCGAACCAGAGTTTTCGACCACAGAACTGGACACGAGCACACTATCCAGTCTGAACAAAATGCTACTGCTCAGTTCGGACGAGGCCAACCCATTTGAAATAGAACAAGTCCTCTTGGTTCCTCTGACGAAACCGCGTCAGTGCACGGAGGCTATGAAGTTACGCCCATGCAAAGTCATCAACCTTATAAGTAGTTTAGAGTCGAAAATGTCTCGATACCTTGGATAGCGCTCCAACCGAAACCGGTCTTTGTGCAGCACATTCAGCTGAAGGATGATATTTTTAGAAAAATGGAAAATTCAGCCGAGTCTTAGTCGAGCCACCACCAGTAACACCAAATCGGTGGGTATTCGCACAAAGTTAATAGTTCATTTTCCGCTGGAAACAAGTTTTAGAGAACTGGCGTCAAACCTCGTGGTAAACAACAAAACTCTAGGTTTCCGAGAAATACACTCATTTGCAAATCAATTTGGCTTTTACGGGAGACTCAATTGAATCTCTCGTTTATGACAGTCTACAACTGAATGTGCTACACACAGGCCGCCTCACGTTTCAGTTAGCACGATATTCGAGATATCGCAGTATATTTTCATAAAGGAAACTACTCACAAGGTTACTGAAAACTCTTCAAACATAAGGTTGACGGAAACTCGGGAACTGCGCCCACCTGATGAGCCCCAAGAAGAGCGAAACCGGTCGTGGGCTGTCGGAGAGTTTTCAGGAACCTTGTGAGTAGTTTCCTTTATGAAAACTCTAGGTTCTTTGTCGGATTTTTACCCCGACAGTAAGAACGCTACAACAAAGCCCAAAAATAATAAAAGTCATGTGGTTCGCCAGCCGAATCTGTGTGAGAATAGCTCACGAAAATTGGTCCAATGGAAAGGAATCTCCAAGGGACTACTTTGCTATGGTTCAAGAACAACCACTCCACAACACGTCACTGGTTAAAGCCCTGTTGCTGAAGCACGCTGTGGGTTTGCGGTAATGAAAAAAAGGCAGATCGAAACACCACATTGCTTTCACTGCATGACGTGTGCATGTGCTTTAAAGTACTTTGATTGTACCAAAGTTTTGACGTAAGGAGAAACAGACCTTCCAGGTCGGCCTGATCACAGTACGGTTCATAAAATCAGATATTACATTCAGCAAGTAATGCGCTGTCATTGATTACATATTCAGTTTCCGTGTTTGATATAGTACGGAAAGGAATGGAGAAATTCCTCCTACAGCTCACCAACCAGGCTGCAGAAACAATGACTGATGGACACTCGGGAGTACTAGTGCCGATGGCTGAAAAGTAAGGTGAACTGGATGGATGCAGCACAACTAAATAGCCTATCACAGCGGCGTTGTCAATGCTAAAGTGATCATCTGATACCTTGTCGTTGGTTGACCAGGTCAGTGGGGTGTTGTAGCACGTTGATTTCGCCACCCACCTGAATGTCAAAAGGAGCATCAGAGACCTGGTTTCCACTTAGTCCTGCAATGGAATCCACAGCTGTGGGAGCCACCCAGTTCCTACACCGATCTAAGCCTGAGGAACCCAATAACGCAGCTAGTGTAGCCATAGGTTCGCCGTCTTTCTGGATGGGGACCCCGAGACGGGCCACATCAATGGCTAGGGACATTATCAGACATGGCCCAGTCGCGCTCTCAATGGCGCTCATGCATCAAAGCTATTGCCTTCAATGCATAGCTCCTTTTCCACCCCCCCGCTTGACAACCCACTGACAGTGCCAGGTTTATGCACCAATTTACCAGCTCGCGCGTGCAATGCGCAGCTACCTACCCCCTCCCCCAAATCATCGGTGAACGAAACTGTGGCAGCTACAACCAGTGTACGACCAGTACGCAGTTCTTACAGCTGACAATGATGATGATGATGAGTGTAGCCCTACCATCATGGTTCCAGCTAAGGTAAACCGCGTTGTGACGTTGAAGAGTATCTATCGGTGATGCAGTGGCTTTTTTCGAAACAAAACGGCACAGACCACCCAATCCAGTGTCAATCGCGCGAACAAAGATATGTCATCCTTTGACAATCCATGGTAACCATAACCCTTGGATAGAATTCTTTGGATTTCAAGCAGTCTCCAAGTAGAATATATGAGATTCCTAAACCATGGTTCTCTGGGGAAAAGTCTATAGTCGAAAGTAAGGGTAGTCATATAGTTCTGCCGCGGTTTTTTCCACTTGTATGTCTGCTGAGAATGTTTAGGAGTCGATACATGCAGATCTATTTCAATTCTCCGACTACCCGCTAATTTTATATATTCTGAAGTGATCGCGGAAGCTATCTTTGGAAACACAGGATCACTGCAATTCTACCTGTCGGCCCTCAATAGGGACCAAAACCATCGTCAGTGCCAAATGAAAGTATCAAATAAAAATGTGCTTGAATTATGAAACCCGAAAGCGAGAAGCTTATCCAAATAACCAAAACCGAATGAACGGCGATAGAAAGTGGAAACCTAAATACTGGAACGGCGTTAGTATTCACAACGTATGAGTCTAGGCCAGTGAGAAAAAATCTCTCGAGCAACGGTCGTTGGTTCTGCACAACTACTAACCCACCGCTACACACCACTATGCTCCCCAATAACGCACTGATGACGTCACCTCGAATGAAACGTTTGCAATGAAATTGCCCGGCTCAGCGAACAAGCCAACGACCATCTACGTTACAAACATTTTCCTCTATCGAAGGATGTTTGCATTGGAAAATCATCTATGTGTGGACTCGTAAGTGACCGTCCAAAGTCAAGGACGGACGAGATAATAAGATAATCGTTCAGCTGTAACACCCTTTCGATGCCTATCTGCCAAGCCACCCAAAGGAAGCACCAGGACTGGGATATTCCCAGGCTGCTCAAGCCTAAGCAGGGAAAGTCGCGAGGCGGAGTTCAGGTTCGAACCACGGACCTATCGGTTAGTAAATTCGCGCTCTAGTCACTGAGCCATCTCGTCTCGAGTCAAGTCAATGACGGGCCAATATTCAATCACTTGACCTGTGTATGCCACCGGGAAGAAGAAATCAGACAGCAGCCGTCCGGAAAGAAATTTGTATAAATTCCGCATCACATGTCTATTGTCGGCAAGTTGTGGAAACAGGTTTACTTCCGTGCTATTAGCGACACTGAGTGTTAACCACAATGAACAGCACGAGCAATGTATTAGGACCTACAGGCGCCCAACAGATTGGACGACAAACAGTGATATGGGCTGTCTCAAATCTGTCATCATTAAGACCTCCACGATCCGCCGCGAAGGCAAAAAGTGATTAGATTGGGATTCTTTATAACTAGAACAGACAGTCTGCTAGTGCACAGTCCGGGTGATCTGGTCCACCTAACTCTCGAAACTGGGCAACAGGGATTGGACTCAGTCGATGAAAATCAACAGCGATAGGGGGAAGATGTACTAAGGAAAGCGAAGACCCACAAACCCGAAGATTTCACGAAATTAAAGAGTTTATTAAAAGACCTCCAGCTTACAGGCTGTGCATGACGACCGAGTAACATCACAACCTCTCGACGAACCCGTTCCTCCTGAGCGGCGGTCGACGCATGGTCCAGATCCGAGGATGCTGTAACTGTCGACAGAGTAGAGCGTGACGAACCTAATGCGGCTGATGTATGGGTCAAAGAACGCTCACTGGTTGAGCGACCAATGCCTAAAAACGGCAGACGTCGTCCTGGAGTAAATTTCTTTTTGATGACCTGAAACAACGGACAGAAATACAATACAATACAACAAAAGGAGAAGGTTGTAGATGTGACATGCAGCAAAGGCTGTTTACATAGTTGATTAGACTTGAGACCTGAAACTTGCAAAGAGATCGGTGCGCAGCGACAAATGATTTCTTTTCGATACAACAAACCATTATAAAAACAAAAAAGTCGGCTTCGTCTAGGCCTTAATTTTCACAGCACAACGATCGCGCTATCCACTAAAACCCAATGCATTGCGCTCTATAATCGAGAAGAATCTCCACATGGCAAACTTCGTCATACGGGTCACGGGGGAAATGACCGAACGATTTATTTTTTTAAAAATGTGACGCAAATAAGTCCGAGCAAACATTTCTGCCTGTTGGGAATAGGGAACTACTGAGGATTGAGGAGAAACCATAGGAGTTGATTCCCTACCTAGTTTTTCGACGGCCATCCCCATCAGAGATGGCAACATCAGTGCTGACAATGGTGCTTCACTACCACACAACCGTAAAGTTCATCTAACTATGCTCAAAACCTTAGAGTGAAAGCAAGAGAAAGAAATGGGTGAGGGAAGGGACCTAGTGCTAGATTATGTCAAGCATTCTGAGGTACACACGACCCAGTGACATGCCTTTTTGACTCCACAAGTGACGCAAATTAACGAACGTGATACGAGCTTTTGAGATTCTTGCATCGACCTCATCCGGCACAATTCCGTCAAAGCTACTACAACCACCGTCTGACGAACTCATTTATATGGGCTGCCGTAGGTCGACCAGATGTTCTGTTTGGCACCAGATGTGCCGGAAACGGACTTCTGCACAACCAGTGAGAGGTCAAGTGTCGGGACTGCTGATACGACAAACGTTAATGGAATCGAAGTTCAAAACGAGAATCCCAGAAGCAAGTCTTTTTGTTTGTTTAACGAAACGGACAAGTTAGATTGTACAACTGTGATTCTGCAGACAGACCACTGAAAGGGACCGGCCAGGAACACTCACTTGGGGAAAACCTTAGAGGTCAACAGAGGACTTAAGGACTGCGCCTACCTGTTGAGCCCCGGGCGAAACTGTTAATGGAATCGAAGTTCAAAACGAGAATCCCAGAAGCAAGTCTTTTTGTTTGTTTAACGAAACGGACAAGTTAGATTGTACAACTGTGATTCTGCAGACAGACCACTGAAAGGGACCGGCCAGGAACACTCACTTGGGGAAAACCTTAGAGGTCAACAGAGGACTTAAGGACTGCGCCTACCTGTTGAGCCCCAAGAAGGGCGAAACTGGTCGTGGGCTGTCGAAGAGTTTCCAGCAACCTTGTGAGTAGTTTCCTTTATGAAAGTAGTCCTGTTAAAAAGCGTTCATGCTAAGCATGATCTCTCCAGAGGAAGACAACTGAACACGAAATATAACTTCGCTGGGCTTCTGGTAGTTCAAGAGTTTATCAGTCTAGGCTGGATATGTGTAAACCGTATGACAAAACAGACAGATTAGTAATTCGGTTCATGACACATCAACGTTCTCGAGCAACACAAGCTGAGTTGTGAATACTCTCTCTCTCTCTCTCTCTCTCTCTCTCTCTCTCGAAACACAGAAGCATGCAGGAGGTAATAAAACCAATGGAATGCAACAAAATCTTCGTCAAAACTCAAGTACCCGTCGCTGAAAAGGATCACATGATTCTATTACTTGAATAGCGAGCCGCATGAACACTAGTGCCTGTACGAATCGACTTTGAACGCACCACTGTCTCTTTAATGACGGCCACAATCTCTGTTTTGATTGACTGGTGAGCATGTTATACCACTTGGTGGTAGATGGATGTAAAAACTGTTGGCGCATTTACGTGATGTACCGCGACCGAAACCGAATAGTTGGGAGTAGACTGACGTCCCTTCGGCGAGCTAGTCAGCTGTCTTGTCGTTCGAGAAGATGTACTCTCACGAGGACTGTTGTTCTTCGAATATCTTTCAACCAGTAAAAGACCTATGGTAAACAGAGGTCAACGGGGCTAACAAAAGGCTAAAATAGATCTTCTTACTTGCGATGCAGACAAAACATACTTTCCTGATGTGCTATGGGTCAAATGGTTTGGAGGCTTGGGCTACACGTTTTACCTGAAACGGCTCTTCTTCCTCCAGCAGAACGGTAAGTCGCATGATATCGCTTCAACCTCCTGGTTAACCTAACGGACTATCCATAAATTCTGGCATCATGAACGGGGGAATAATGTTCACGTGACAAAAACCACCAGACAGCCATATCATGATCAACTCACTTCTTTGACCAACTGTTTTCGAATGCGTGTTTTCACTTCCATGGCAAAGTCCAACCATGTCCAGACGCAATTGTGATGTTCCATTGTGGGAATGTTTAGCTGGAAGCGAGTCACGTCAGTAAGGTTTTTTTGCTTCTCTCCCTAAAGGAATAAGTGGAGAGAAGGAACCGGTGTGAGTAGTAACGTCCACAGGTTAATGGCATTGGCTGGAAGCTACAACACCCTCGCCACCTTCCAGGAATATTGTAAATTCGCCTAGTTTAGTCAGGATAACCAACGAAACAGATCATTGCATATTAAGGACGATTCCCGACAAAAATTCGAGAGCCGCACGGCGCTGCTTGGTCTCTTAGCACAAACTGAATTCACTTGCAGGGAATCTCAGTTGAAAATTTCCGAATCTCCTCATACTAAAAAAAAACTACAAACAGTATGGAAGGGATAATAATTCACGCTAAAAATGAAGCTGCATCAAAGGAATCCTCATTGAAGGGGCCAGTCCACGGGTTACGTGATATGTATTATATGATTGAAGGATGAGTGACACTATATTCCGTCTAGGCACGAGTTAATAACATTGCTGAACAGCCGCTCTTCACCGATTGGGCGGGAAGTCGTGGGTTCGAACCTCGTTGGAGATTCATTGTATCCGCATTGCTGATGATTCCCAATAAGAAGGAAACGGCATGGATTCACATTATCTAAAGATTACGAGATCTCAAGTGAGACACTCTAGAGAAGTCTGTCAGACATTGGTTATCCACACTGCCTAAACAAATTAAGAATGTGTACAGTAGCTAAACCAGTGAATAGCTTTGGAAGTTAGGGTAAAGGTCCTCTGAGAGAAACTCAACTTATAATGGTCCTACCTGGACAAAAACGAAACGATTCGGTCTTCGTAGAGATCAGTGTGAGTTGTACAATGTGTTCAGTGAGAGCCTCTAACGTGGACAGTTCTGTAGAATAGCGTCTTTTGGGCCGCTTGACTAGAGTATTCTCACGATCACTGGGGGTGGAAACTATCTCCAAGTTCCTAGTAGAAGAACCTTGAGGCGAACTGGTCCCCATCACAATTTCTACTCGACTGTGGGATCGATATACTCTGCACAGAGTCTAACCCACCGACGTGAGGGGTCCCGTCAGCGGACACTGTAGAAAAGCTTTCTATATGAAGTACACAGTGTGCACAAACACTAGAATCCCTTATGAGATGAAAATCATTTCGAAAACTGAGTGAATATATACCCTGTTCGCAAGACATTCAATCAGATAGATGACTTGCCTTATAGCTCAAACAAATCGGGAATCCAGGAATCTTGATGTAGAGAAATACGTTGTTTTGCCGCGCGCGTTCCTGAAAAAAAGTACAAGGTAGAGTATTCGCGTTAGAGAGCATCACCAAACTGAACCAGGAGACTACTATGCCACTACAAACGACTTCTGACTTGATCACAATTTGGCAAGGAGGATGGCAGAGGGGGGTGCGCTCCCAAAAACCCCGTATCATTGTGTGTGCTAACGCACTTCCGGTATTTTCAAGTTAATCGCTTGTTGTTCGGAGCATTACAGCCGCGTCCAAGGTTTTGTCTACTTACTATTCTGCTGTACTAGGAGTCGGCATCAGGTAATACACCAGGGGATGGAATATAGTCACAGCCCGCTCATATTATCATTTGCGTGATCGAAACATAACAAATAACTCTGCGCAAATACTTACTAGGGGAAACTCCATTGTGTCTTATTTGTAAATCGCAATTTGCTCGTGTTCGAACGCAAACACGACTACTTTCTACTTACGGTTGTCCGATCACTGCTAACGCTGGCGACGAGCTGTGTAGAAAAACAGTCTGTAGATAGTGTGTAAAATAATAATAATAATAATAGTTCAGCTGTAATAGCCTTTCGGTGCCTATCTGCCATGCCACCCGGAGGAAGCACGAGGGCTGGGATACTGCCAGGTCACCCAGGCCTAGACAGGGCCTAGACAGATAGTGTGTACCCGGGGGTAAACGAAATGCGGTACTTTTAAAAATGTCCCGACATCTGATTGGTTGTGGACTCAGTAGACAACCAAGTTAAAGGAGAGCTGAATAGGGGAAGAACAACTGACAAGATGACCGCTATCTAAGAAGTCAGCCAATACGTGTTCATTTGATGTGATTCCCGTGATTGAAAAATGAGAGACGCTATATTGTCTAAGTGATGGCTAATCACACTGCTAGTTGGCTGCTCATGGTCGAATAGTCAAGTGTTCGGCCGGAAGACGCGAGTTTTAAGCTCTCTGAGTTTTGTGAGATGTGGCCTGTTTAGCAAGACAGCCTTGACTATCCTTGTCTGTTCACAAACACTAGGTGGCAGCGGCATAACACAAATCGATTTAGCTGTGTCTAGGGTACTTATGAGTGCATAGGTGGACGGGTGGTGAGGGGATCTATATATGACTTTAGAAGCATGTGTACTTATCTCCCTTGTGGCCTATGCCGATCAGACGGCTAATGACGGCGCTTCTGGGTGATCCCATGTTGTTGCCAGGGGAGTAGTTGGGACAGTGGTCAAGGAGTTGAGCATAAAGCTAACGGATAATACGACCGACGTGGGAAGCTCTCCACAGAGAAACCACCATGGATTGGGTCCTTGTTATCCAGCGGAAGTATTGAACCACTTTTAAAGATAAAATACTTAACATGGATAGCGCGAAAGGTAGTTTTGGTGATAGAATTAAGCCTTCGTATTAGTACCACAGTTTCGGTTTCACCTTTGAACGTAGGTAGGTTGAGAAACAACCAGTTCTTCTCTACAGCAATTATTTGAGAGTTCGTTGGTCTCAGTTAAACGCTTGAGTTCGATGAACTTCACAAGGAGACCATTCTTTCAAATATGATGCGTACGCGGTTTAATGATTCCAGCAAAATATCGCTTGAACACATCTGGATGTCAGGCACCGAACTGGCGAAGTTGATGTACTGTTCACTCCAAGTCTCATTTCTACACAGTGTACGCTTCAATGACCCGTTTGGCAGGCGACTTAAGAGCACATCGAGAAAGGGGAGTCGATCACAGCTTTTGTAGCTCAAACAAAAAACATCATCTACCAACAGGTTGTGCTGGATAGTCTTGCGCCGTAACCAGATCTATACCAAAAGTAAGACGCCTAGAAGTCATTCACTGAATCAGATTGATGGTGTGCACCCCAAAATTTTAGAATTGGACTCCAACCAAATAGGCTCTCCGGTGGGAAAGGTCATTAGAATGAGACAGGACGGGTATTTTCAAAACCACACTCACTCGCATCACTTCCACAGGATTAACGTTCCCAGGGGTGGTATTGCTTCTATAGTCAACCAAATCATCCGACCCTACCGAAGTGTCTGACGATGCTGCGGATGGAAGCAGTTCTGATAGGACACGCACAGAATGTGGCCATGTTGATGGCAGACTCAGAGTAGAGACGGCGGTCAAACCTGACTGAAGTTGTTCCTGTGGTTGACACAAGAATGATCGCAACGTGTGATCTTTGCTCAAATCTACCGCAGCACCCGGGAGTCTGGTTGATGCGTCCAACTCAGTAGTGGCTTGTCCCTTCCAGCGCAGACGTCTAATGGGGGAAAACACCAAAAATGTGACTGCAACTTGGGGTACGATAAAACTGGTTCATTAAGTCATATACACTCACTGGCCGCTCAACACGCTCGTACCTGCGAAACGCGGAAAAAGGATTCCTATCCATCCAACCCCATCCACTCTCATCGGTCTGTTGAGGATCAACAGCAGTGCAACTGGTCTGACCTGAGAGAGCAGCTTCCACTGTCAAATTGGATGTTGAATCTTCAACGACTGAAGGGCCCACAGAGTCCGCAAGACCTGTGCTGCTATTGCTGAGGTTCGTAGTTGAGGATGATATTGTGGAACAAAGGGCGGCGGAAGGAACTGTCGATTCAGTGTGTCCCCGATAAAGATGTCGGACTAAACTTGGTACTTGGTTGAGCCGACGTCGTCTGGTCCAACCGCCTCCTCCAGCTTCTGTATTGGAAAAAGTGCGTTTAAGGAGGGAAGACGTCCTAAGTGAACAAGGGTTGCGATATTCGTTGCGAAAGAACGGATGATAAACGTAACAGCGAGAGTTTTCCACAAAAGAAGAGAATACGAGTGCTAGCGAAGGGTGCATTCTGAAACAGATTCTAACCCGACGCCGAAATCGGCGACTAAGACGATGTAACTTACTGGTGAGTGCTGCCGTGGACAGTGAAGTACTCAACCCAAGTGGCTCGATGGAGGAAGTAGTGGAAATGTCCGGTCCCTCAGAGGGCATTCGGGGAGATAACGAGGATTCTGAAATCACAGAGTTGTGTGAGAATAGAAGAATCGAAGTGAACAAACCACTACGATGAATAAAGCAGCAGTTCAGGAAGACGAAACTCTGTCGAGTGGATGATCAACGGTGATCGGGCTTGAAGTAAAGTTGGGAAAAGGTAAGGTACTGTGTTCATGAGCTAACACAAGTAATCTGCTACGGTGAGGCTAGATTATCTGGCAGATAAATGTATTAAACATGCAGTCGCTACCTCAATAACGAATGAGCGCCGAGACGGGCGGTCCATAACCATAGACAGAGTGACCTGATGGAAAGAATTCCTGCACGGAGACAAAAGTCAAACCAACAAACCATGGAAGATACTTGACTTTGAGTGAATATTAATCAAAGTGCAAACCAGTGTACACGGAAAAGGTTCCCTAACCCGTGAGCTGGGTAGATTTTTGGCAGCTATTCTAAATGCCCTCATCGTAAAATCTAGTACTCACATGATAACAGGAAGCTCAGATTCCTGAAGATTATCCCAGAATATCCGAAGCCTACTGAGACCCTCAAACTCCACCAAACGCCTACCAAACAGCCGTGGATCGCAGAATATCCGAAGCCTACTGAGACCCTCAGACTCCACCAAACGCCTACCAAACAGTCGTGGATCGATCTATCAGACAGTGCCTTTCAAAATGTGGCGCAAGACAGCCTTGGATCAAGGTTAGAGAGTGCCTCCTGAATATATAGCGCGAGCGAGTTGTACTTTTTGTACTCGCACTCAATCGCTTGTTCGCAATAAAGCCGTTGTATTCTTTGTCGGCGAGTCTTTTTTTCCGGCACTTGGCGGGCACAACAGTCAGATATACCACATTAATATCTCGTATGACTTGGCGACCAAAGTAGCAGGTGTCGCCGTGGAGTTTCGATGTAAACTCGTTCTAAACAAATATAGCAAAGGGAGACTTCTGAAAACAACCAAGTGACTGCCACTAGTAGACACCACTCTGTCAGAACGGACACAACATATGGTAGACGAAATAGAGGAAGACATGAAAGCATGTCTGAATCTGATTCACCTCGTTTTTGACTCCGTTGTTCACATTCAAGAACAAGACCTAGCTATGGGATCTCCAATACCCCCCTAAAAAATTTGAACAGAAAAGTGCAACCGGATTCCTTCGTGTAGGCTTGGACAATCTTGCAATATCCTAGCCTTCCTGCTTCCATCTAGTGACGTGGCAGCTAGGCGCCGAAAGGGTGTTACAGATGAACGATTCCAGTGACCCTCCAACGTATTCTAGCATTATGTAAATGAAACAAGAAGTTCTACAACTGAATTCACACATCAAATTTAGTGTAGAGATAGACACAAGTTTGGGTACACTGCCCTTCTCAGACTGCATGACACATGAGGAAAACTAAAGAGCACAGTTTATGAGAGGCCAACTGGCAATGGGACAATTTGGACTACTCCGCCTACCGAATTATTTCCTTATCGATGTTTAGCAGAGTAAGCGTTCAGCTGTAGCACCCTTCCGGTGCCTAGCTGCCATGCCACCCGATGGAAGCATGAGGGCTGAGATACTGCCAGGTTGCCCAAGCCTAGACAGGGGCAGTCGAGAGGCGGAGGGCGGATTCGAACCACGGACCTTCCGGATAGTAAATTCGCGCTCTAACCACTTGGGCCATCTCGCCCCTTAGCAGAGTAAGAGTCCTGTGCACAGAAGAGGTTGATAGGGCAATGGCCCAAACTGAAGTAAAGAACAGACTTCGAGGTAGGGACATCCAGCTAGTTTGATTAGACGTCAATTACGGAGGTTGTTGACGAAACCCAACGGAGGACGGTTTGAAACTGCTATTATTCCATACAAATAAAGGGACATCCAAAGTCATTCGAAAGATTCTAAACACGGATAACATAAAAGTAGCAATCCAGAAAGAAAACACTTTGTGCTCTGCATTGGTGCAATTGAAGGATCGCCTTTCGGCGAACAGAACTAAGGAATGTGACACGGATAGACGGTCACACAGACAATTCACACCAGAATCGGAGAGCACGAGAGGGAAATTTACAGGCTGTCCAGAAACGCAGATGAATATCGAGCGCTACTGAAATCGAAAGACTCAGCAATGGTGGTGTACAAGCGCTGGACAAGGGACAAAAAATAGATTTAGAAAATGTTGAAATTTGAGGCGGGGATCAGGGTTCACGCAGATGGTCGAAGCGTAGAAATCGCTAACCATTACAGTGTAAATAGGATAGAAGGCGTAGAACTGGCAAGCGTGTTGAGAACGGTCGTGGATCAGTTGACCTGACACGTGTTGGTGTGCGGTCATCAGAAGGAGGAGTAGTTATCATCTGAATTCCACTTAACCTCACCCACTTTCCCTCCCCGAAACCAAATTGCCACAAGACTCACAAGCCCGTGAAGACCAACGAATTCTACCAGTGGCACAAGCATACCAACGGAAGCACGCTGAAGTGGAACCAAACCCGAGCAGAAAGCGGAGTCATCAGGAGAAGTAGTTTAGATCTGAAGTGCACTTAACCTCACCCACTCTGCCCCCAACTAGATTGTCGTAGCACGCAGGCCAATGGAATTTACCCATGGCGCTCAAGGTGAATCATCATCAATTGAAGAACTTTGAACCGGAAGATCGGGGAACTAAACCAGATCAAAAATATTTTGAAATTCCCCCAACCCATCAAGCGTAGGATTTAGGCAACCATTCTAACCAACAGTACCTTCTAATTGACATTCAACAGTGATCTAGTGTGCTAATCTAAACAGATTCTACCGACCAGTTCTCTGTCTGCCTTAAAACCTGGCCAAATCGGTGACCTGCTCAGTTGGCCTGATGAAGCTTTTGTGTCTAAAGCGAAACGTTGCCCAGCTGAAAACCACCGGTTGTTTACTAAGAGGGTCTGAAACGATTACTTCTCAATCAGTTCTAAGCTCTTTCAATTGACTGAAAAGTGAAACCCAGTTATTTCTCGACTAACAGTTACTCTAAATGTCATTTGGCTTCTTTAAAAACAAATGACCGTCGATGTCGCGACCACAATTAACCGTTTTCTACTATAGTTAAGTCAAAAAATAACTGGGGAAACAAAATAACAAGTTTCATGCCGACTGCTGTCAGGAGGGTGGTACAGCACTACTCTCTTATCTGAGAGACCCGTGAGTGGAAACGATTACCTTGGGCTTTGTTGGACGGTAGACTCCCCTTGGGTGAGTAGGTCTCTAATTGAAAATCGTTTAAAATCACAGAAACGCTTTGCCAAAGTGGGCCAATCGAATTACGTTAAAACTATCCGAACAACCAATCACAGCAGAGGTATCAGACACACCCCGGGAACTATATAAACACAAACTGCAGTGGTCACTTAAACTGGTGCGCAACGCACACCGTGTCCCTATGTCAACCCAATGTGGGATATTAGCCCCGCCAATCATGTTGGAGCTCGACTTTAGTCGTTGAACCCTATTAGCTCATGTTTTGTTTTAGAGTCATGCATGTCAATTGATCACAACTGTATAGACTAGTCTCTCGGCCAGTTATGTTGCACCCCCTGAACCAGTCAGATAGCTCACCACCGCATCAGCAGTTACAACACAAGAACAGAAGCGAAGGGAATGTTAACGCAATCAAGTACCGGAGATTTCTGCTCATTTGGTTACTGTCCAATACGAATGTGAATAAACCACGGTATGTAGGAGCGCAAAAATGTCGCTATAATGTTCCTGTGAAGGGGACCCTGTTAGGAAGATAGCTGCAACCGCCTTAAAAGCCTATCTGAATGAAGTATTTCAGAGGATAAAGCAACAGTGAACAGAGCATTCAAATAAAAGAGGCTTCTGAATCAGCAAGTACACTATGGACAATGAGAAGATGAAACCTACCAGTGGTGGTGACCGGCGTCAGGTTACCCGGCGCTGCTGGAACGGATTCGTCGGCTTTTTCCGGAAAAAAGTATGGCATCATCACCCGGTAGAATTGTTTGCTTATCTAGTTGAGCGAGGGAAATGGCAGAAAGTAGTGACACGGTTTCTCATAAATGAATGATTCCAAACTTCCAGTGTTAACATCAATTTGCTCTTAACGTCCTAAAGTTAAGGACTTTGTTCATTGTGGCACCCAGTCAGTGGCTAAATATCAGGCAGCCTGAAGTGAACACGACGGCTAAGATACAGCTCAGTACTCGATCCTAAGGACGGAGTCTACGAGCTGTTGGTCAATCAACCCCTGACCGATGAAAAAGTGTTGGTGGCTCAGTCTATTCAGAGAGGTCGCTGAACATGACAGTGTTGCTCCAAACGCTTGAATACCGATGCTGTCACCGCGACTGGTGATGAGACGTTAGGGGCAAATTTTCGGAGCTCAGTGAACAATTCGATTACCAACTGAAAAACCTGAGCTCTTGCTTAGGTTAGAGGGGTAGGTGCGAACTTGACGCCTCTCGATCAGTAGCTCATCGGCCCTAAGCTCTGGAATGCTCAAATACGGTAGGACATGCAAAAAATATTAAAACTCATGTTTGTGGATAACTCATTAATCCTTGGAGCAATGACTAGTTAAATGCGGTAAACTACACACTTGAGGCAAAGGAAGACTAACGCAATGTACACGAGTATAGGCCCAACAGACCAGTCAAGAGGCCCGTTTGTGGTACTGGGAATTGACGATAAAGGATAGTAACTGTAGACTGGGAGGAGTGAAGTGCAATAGGCTCAGTAGTTACTCATACACAGATTACCTGTAAAACCATTGGAGCAACGCTAATTTCCATAGCTTCTTTGACAGACAGACCACCGACCGGGGCGAGTTCGGAGCAGGCGATCCGTAGAATGGGACCACCGGCGTAGTGTCCACCACCGACGTCCGGAAGTAACACCTCCTAGAAAATTTGAACAAATCAGGTTAGTCATTGGTGTGCTCTTGAGAGGCTCCACTCTAGATGACATGTGTAATTTCTACTAACCTTGTAAAATGAATCTGGTCCCAAACTGTCCACCCGTATCCAACCGAGTTCTAACCAGTGTGACCCAGAATCATCCTGGCGATGGGTTTTGGCATACAAAAAACCCCGCAATTCAACATCCGCTAGGCCAATTTGGCCGTCATGCTCGGTCATTCGCCAGCGTGCGTGTTCGAAACACACCTTAATAGGAGAACGAGAAAAAAACGGTTAGGTTGTTCCAAAAAAAAACCTGGGCTAGTAAGAAAATATGCCGAAATACTTACCTCATTTCGTCTAACAATTTCTGCAGGGTATGGGTCATTCTTTATGCTTAGGGATTCACGATGCAGTTGTGTGGGTAACTGCTCGGAGTTACTTGAATCCCCAGCGAAATATTCCCCTGACTGAGTGGGACCACCTCCACTGGTAGCCAGTCGACCCATTGAACTGTCGGCCTTGTGAGGGGCGATAGATGAAGTCGGAGGCGATAAACTCGCACGATCACCTAATAAAAAAGATAGCAAACGTACAGGTAGATATAAAGTGCGAAGCGGCATCTAATTCGGAGGGAGCATGCAAGTAGTCCCAAAACCCCCACACCTTCACATGCATAGATAGTCAATCTCGTCACATTTTGACAACTTTTGCTGCTAGTGCGCTATTCAAAAATGGCACCCCAAGTGGATAGATAGTATTGTGAAAACAAAGCAAAACAAACAAGAGGATCAATCGCGATTTTACTAATCGTACAAACTAGCTGCAGTTACGTCCAACCACGCATATAGCGAAAGAGAGAATATATAAAAAACATAAAACCAGTTACCGTTTCAGAGAGGTTTGCTGAACAATCTATTGCTGGGCAACGCTTTGCTTTTGACACAAAAGCTTCGTCAGGTCAAATGAGTAAGTAGAGTTAGATCCCATTAACTAACCCACCCCCATCCCCAAACCAATTGTCCCAGCGCCCTTTGACGAACACAGGTGAACGGAACCTGTGAACGACCCCAAGAGGACTTTTCCATTAGGGTGTCCTAGACGAAAAAAACAAGGACGAAAAATCCGGGTTCATCATGAAGACAAATCCCTTCCCCCCCAAACCAATCTATTGAAAATGTCATCAATAACCAACAGACAGGAACATCAGACTGAACCCTCAGCTTTCATGAATTCACTAGTCATAAGGAATCTCGCGGATTGGTTTCCTGACTGCCTTAAAACTACGTCAACCTTCTTACTCACTCACTTGGCCTGACGAAGGCTTTTGTGTCAAAAGCGAAACATTGCCCAGCAATAAATCCACCGATTGTTTACCAAACTTCTCTGAAACGATGACTTCCCAAACGGTCCCAAACATCTTCCAAATGATTGAAAAAACCAGCTAGTTTAAGGCAAGAAAAACACAAAAATTAGTGCATACTCTAGTATGGATAATATAAAAGTGACTATGGGATTTGTCCATTCACAGGAAGACAGACCTTTCCGGTGTTGCTTGAGGAGGGAAGAGGCAGAGGCAGACGTCGTTAAATTGGCCGCAGCAATGTGGGGCGAGTGTGTGCCTGACATGGCAGACCGCATATGACGGCGTTGAGCTCGGATTTGTAGCTGCTGGTATTGGGCAAGCCGTTGGGAAAGTAAAGCATTGCAGTCTACAATCCTCGTCTTCAAATTGGTGACTTGTGCCTCTAAATGTCTAAAAAAATAAACATCACATATAATGGACATAGGAGTTCAGGAAACGCGGCACCAACAGTAGTATGACCAGTCATGGGCTACAAAGATTAACCGTCCGTTTAACGACTACACAAAACCGAGTTGAGCTATCCAAATAGACCATCATCGTCGGCAGTAGCGCCAAAGTAGACCACACTGTACCGTTGCGAGGAAAAACTGAGAAAGAGAGAAGCTTAGTGGTCACCTGCCACAGACCCTTGTCTACACCTGCAACACTCAACCAGACAAACAACCCTTTGGTTGTCATCACAGAGGACAACGGAGAACTTAGTTCAGTGCTACAAGAGACAAGAAGGAATGAGTTGCCCCCTATGTGGACTGTGGATCTCGATTTTGGAAATGTCACGTAAGAACTTTGCGTGTGTCCATGAGGGGATTTTCACGTACCGAGCATAATGTATGCTAAGCGCCAATATTGCCGCATTTTCCGATGGCTGTCTACATTGTACAAGATCCGGTAGACCAGGAATAATGCGATCCTGTGACACGGCAGCCACACGGTCCAGTTCCAGAACAGCCATTGTCTCTCGAACGAACGACCATAAGTCTCGCTCCAGTCGACGTTGCTCTGCTACAAGACACCGCAACACTTCCTGATTGCGCAAGATCGCCGAACGTGCCTGAGATTCGGACATCAGACCGAACGCGACCCGATTACGTTCCAGCTGAGCCTATATGATGAGAGAAGAGACATCGGAACGTATTAGCTGCGGAAGATGAACTGCAAAAGTGTAAAAGGCATACATGCCATGTTTAGAATAATGAATAGCGAGAACACACGCAGCTAGCATTGGATAATATGCAGCGGTATCAACAACAGCAAGCAAAGCAGACAAAATGTAGGATAGAGGAGTACCAGCTTTTGTGGAACCGCACATACCAGAACAACGTATGTGCATTGGGGGGGGGGGGGAAAAAAAAAACTTCAAATTTTGGC